AAACAGTAAAACAAAAAAGCATGGTAGAAATATGTTAGAAAGGTGTATGTTTCTAAGAGATTTTGATTTTTAAAATCAAGGCTAGGTGGCTTGTTATGGGTTAGTAAGATTTTGTTCCCTGTGCTATATCCCAAGAATAAAGAGTGGAAATACATTCTCACATTAGGACAGCACTGCAAAGATGCAGTTGTTTGCCTACAGTCCACCAGCCGCAGTCAACCCACAAAATTCAGCTGAATGGTTTGCATAGACAAATCCGGTTTGTCCAGCAAAGTCAAATATTGAGTGACTGTCACTATAATAAGCAGAATGAGGATGTAAGTTTATCCCTTTGAAAATAAGTTAAACCCGTGCTTAACAACAGAGAAAATGTAAATCACCTCAATTTCACAGCTCCTGTGTGTTGTAACCACACTAAACTGTACTGACAAAAACATTGTTTGGTGGGACTATCAATGTGTCCTGACAACAACTACACTATATGAGCTGTCTGCACTGCTGGGTACCAATCAGGTTTTTAAGTTCAAACATGTTTCCCCTTTCTCAAGACGAGAAATGGCATTTTCGCAAAGGGGAAACACCTATTAACAAGACCACTTACTATAACCAGAAGAAACCTCCTTTTAATAAGTAGAATGGTGTTCCAGCCCATTACTTCTCAGTTCAAGCACCAAGCACCGGTGCCAGTAGGTCTTCAGCTGTCCTGTGAACATGCTCTGCATGTAAAGGATATATTCAATCTTTGCTTCCGATACACTTTTAAACGGTTCTGTTTCGCAACCCCTTCAAATGCCACAAGTGTAAAATTAACTGCAGCTTTCATAAACAAGACAGAACAGGCTGACGTATAGGAAGTAGAATGGAACATTGCCTCTCTTCTAACTTGGAATGGAAATCCTTCTGCGTTCCACATCTGTAACAGAGCTACGTCACAGTCTTCCACCAGTTCCTCTAGGGACAGAAGTGTTGCCCATTGTCTTTAGTACAAAAATAATAACGGATCTTCAGAAAGAGGGTTGCCCAAAATGTCCTATCTCCTGCAGAGATGCAGCGAAGATTTTACCCCCTTTTTGTTTTATGTGCCTTGCTAGACTCTTGCACGTTTGTAGAAATAATTTTTAAAAAACTATCCCAGTGGGATCCAAGAAAAATGATTAGGTACAAAAAATAGCTTTTGTTTATTTTTACTGCATGAAACACCCAGAACACTTAAACATATTTTATGATATTGACAGACAGTTTAGAAAATAGTCTTCATGAGGCATGAAATGTATGAAACAGAGCACATGTAATGAAATTAAAGAATTTACAAGTTACTGTTAGCACTGAATAATGTCCAGTCCTAACTCTGGGAAAAGGCTACTTGAGGTCTGCTCTGCCTTTAAAAAGGAAAATGCAGGTGACATTTACACACAACTTTAAATGAGGCATATAACAACCACACACTTCAATATGATAAAATCTTATTTTGATTTTAATTGAAGTAACCCATCCCCAAAAATCACAAGAAGCTGCAGCTATCTCCAATAGCCCCTGGTGCCAGTGACAACATCAAAGGGAGGAGGGGTGAAATATGTTTTCCTCCTCTCCTGGTACTCCAACATTTCCTCCAACAACCTCCTCTCGCCCCCCCCCATCCTGAAAGCAAAAAACAAAAGGCCCTTTCTTTTGACAAAACCATGACTGGCCTTATTTCTGGAATTATTATGTCCAGCCCAGCTTTCTCCCCCCCAACTAACAAACACACTGAGTGGATGTTGGTTTTGCCAGTGCTTAGTGTACAAGTTTTAATCTCCCACAACTTGGCAGTGTGAAGAATAACTCGATTTCAGAACTCTTGTGGACATAACTCTTTTGAGGATGAGGATACTTCTCTTTAATCTGTGATAAAGGTCAATATTCACACAGCAAACACCCACCAGGAAAGTGTAACAATCCATGTTCTCTTTAACACCCTGATCACCTCCAGTTCATCTGGGAAAGTAACACATGCTTAGACAGAAATTACCTCTCCTGATGAGCTATTACATTAATATAGAGCCTCACTCTCAACATTAGAAATGTCCAGAAACATAAACCACTTTACTACATAGAAATGTGCCTAAAAATCCTAATTTCACACCTTTGTTGTTAAAGGTAATTATAAAGTAACTGATTTAAAACCCAAAACACATACGAAATTGAAAGGAAATCTAATGTCTATAAACCTGGAAGCAGATAATCAGTGACTGCTGCAGAATATTATAAAAGCCAATACTGTACCTGCTGATATGCAAATCTTGCTTTTCAGTAACCACAAGATATTGAGCTACAAATGCTTTCAATTCTCAGCCGCTTTCCCTGAACTAAACAAAAATCAAATGGGATTCAAATGAGGTTAGTCAGTCACATAATTTGAGTTAAATACAGGGCCTTTCAAATGCACTGAAAATAATCAGGATACGGTAAAGTTCCAGTCTTCGGGAGTGCCCCAGCAGGCACTGTATATTGTGAAGGCAGTTATTTTGTGTATAGTAAAATCATGAGTACAAAATTCCATCCATCCATTTTCTAACAGCCTCTTCCAATGCAGGGCTGCAGAACAGCCAAAGCCTATCCTTGCAAGTCACAGGCTCAAGGCAGGATACACCCTGGACGGAATATCAATTCATCACTAGGTACACGCAGACACAAACACACACACCAAGGCCAATAATCCCTGAAGTGTATTAACATACCAGTATGTTTTTGGAGATAACCAAAGCACAGAGGAAGAACATATAAACTCCATGCACACAGATCCCCAGGTACGGAATTGAACCCAGAGCCAGAGCACTGTAAAGCAGCAATGTTCACTCACAGTGCCCACCAGTGCCAAACAATTCAACATTACACATTACATCTTGTTTTGGTAGTTCTGACCTATGATTTTCTAGTGCATGCACAAACAGAATGTCTACATAGCTAGAACATGATCCTACTTGAAAGTAATTGTAAGAACTTGACATGAATGTAAAGTATCACTTATTAATGGTGTGTGAGACAGTGAAGAGAATGCAGTACATCAGAAGGGTCTTATAATGGTACAAATCACTTTTTTTCTCGCAGTGTTGCACAGAATACAGGTGGGCTGTCTTTTAAGTAAATCATCATTCTTGTTATTTGAGTCCATGTTCTAAGGCAGCTTCCTAAGCCAAACAGTGATTTGATTAAGATCCCAAAACTGTTTCAGAGATTTTTGTTTCAGCTGAAAATGGGCTTTCAATTCTCAGGAGTAATGAACAACTACTTCAAAATGATCATTTAATTCTCAACTTAAAAAGCCCAAACTAATCAATTAATTTAGTATACTACACTGTGAAATATCAAAGAAACTTTAAAGTATTTCATATACTGTACAGTAGGCCTACTGTATATATCTTATATATTGAAAAATACTTTCATAGCAAATGCAGTTTTAAGATTTTGCATACATTGTGTACAAATATAAATTTACATATTAACGTAATGTTTTCACACAAGTTAAAACATCTACATGTTTGTGTCTTTGCAAGTGTTGCTGATTTGGTGGTTGTCAGCCTGTAATTTACGTGTTTTGAATACCTTCCAGCATTAAAAGGGTGAGGCTCTTTTCCCAGATCTGACCTGGCAAGCTTTTCTGCCACCAAGGCTCATGCCCACTGCTGGATTTGATCTGTGGGCAGCAGTTATGTTAATATTAATTAGCTCTGGCTGATTCACAATGCTGTGGGCAATATACAGTATATACAGTAGGACACAGGTAGTAGGCCCCAAACTGTGTAGGTGTGTAGTACTGTATGAGCAGCATGCTGCATATAATCAAGGAATACAAGTGCCCTACCTTTAAAAAATACTCCTGAAATCAAACAACACAAAAACATATTTATCTGCTTGCATGTCTATCTGCCCATCTGTCTGTCTGCCTCCAGTTCATTACAGCTGCATGTCATATGTCCCCACACAGCCATAGCCCTGTGTGTCCCAGGTGTTAAGGAAAGAAGGATAATGCAAGTTGCTGTTTCCAGGTATCTTAGCTGTAACTTTATGCCAGTTTGACAGTGTTGCTCTAAACGTTGTCCTCCAAACTGAAAAAAATAATAATATTACGCTGACTAGAGGGCATTCAGTGTCTTCAAGCTGTTCTACGGATCCCAGTCCTCATCTTTGTGGGGGAGTTTCAGAATTCATCATTACATAACATGTCAGCGCTCTTTCTGGAAGGAAATTTAATTTAAAACCTTAAGACATCAGACAAAAAAATGAAAGAGGAATCTGCTCAGCCTCTTTAAATTCAAAACGTTCTTTGCATGAACGGTCTGTGTGAAGTGAGCACACTGTCTTCTCGTTTAACACATCTCATTAGTGGTTAATTGAGAATACAGACTATCTTATTGAGGATGTCCAGTCTATTCAATCCATTAACAATGTGTTTACAGCAAAAACGAAGAGGACTTGTACCTTACAAAGACTTGCCACATCGAGCACTGAAACCCACAAAGCAACGCTGCAGTTTCACATCAATAATATAAAGGGAATAAAAAAACATATCTAAAGGGAAAACCGAATCTTGCACTCTGAATCTTCTTGTTTCGTTAATATTTAATTTCAGATGCAGCAGAGAAGCTCTTTGCTCCCGTAACTTCAAGTTAACTTCGAGTTACGGGAGCACAGTTCCCCCATTTTTACTCTGTATTATTTGTTATTATAGCTATGCAGGACGGCAAAATACCTTTCCGTGAAGCGAAATAAAGTGATCAGCATTTCTGACTATCGCACAATCTGGTGAGAAAGAGTTTTATAAAATCACTTTAAAACAGTTCAGCAAATACGCATAAACGTTTGTTCTTTCAGTTAAACAGGTTAAAACTACAGTGTTACTAGTCGTTTCATCTCGTTTAAAATATCTCTATTCAAATTAAGGTTCACACGATTTAAAGGCAGTCAGGATTCCCCCTAGCAAATTAATGCAGTAAGAAGGGATATTAAAGAAGAGAACTTACTATGCCGGTGTCTTCCACTGGTTCCAAAGTAACAATGCCTTTACTCTTGGTCTCGTTGTCACTAAGAATGTCATCTTCGGATTCTTCAAAGACCGAGGACCCGGTTGAAGAAAGCGAGGAGTTCGACAGCTTTCGGCGCAGAGGCCCATTAACATCGCCCCAGTCTTCCTCCTGCATCTCTCGGGGGCACCCGCCGCCCTCGGGGGTGATCGTCACCTGGGGCACGCGGTGGTTATTCAGCCCGTTCCATCCAGCAGGTGAGCTGCCCCTGGCCTTGCCCGCCGCGACGCTGCCGAGCTCACCCACCGGCGAGCCCCCGTTGCAGCCTTCCGGCACCTTGCGGCTGGCTCTCCTCTCCTTCAGAGAGCCAGTCCCGCTGCTCCCATGCCCACTCGTTTGGCTGAGCTCCCTGGTAGACCTTCGCCGTTCTTTGGGCATGTGTTTGCCTGGGTTGGCTTGGTGAGGGCGGCGAAGGTTGCTGTCACTTTTGCGGGGCTCCTCGAACAATGATCTGAGCTCCACCACGCTAACTCCGGTTATTTCATGGCATATGAATTCCGTCCGCTTTCCAGACTTCAATCCAGCATTTTCTGTCACTGAATTGGCGAAACTACGCTGTCTTGACTTGCTGCTTCTGCGAGAGCTGACGGCTGTCCCTGAGAGTATTTCTTGATTGCTATCTCGCTGCGTAGTGGGATCTCCACTTGTATCGCCGTATGTGTGGAGCATAGCGACGACGCGGTTTACATGGGGTGTCTTCCTTATTTTGCAAAACACTTTTTTTTTTCTGAGCAAGTTTCTTTCGATTTTACTTTAATGCCTTGCAGACAAGCTGAAGCGCGTTGCTACTCGCTTTGCGGGTTTGCAGCACTTCCTCGTTCAGTCTCGCACAAGTGAAGAATGTTATGCTAAGGCAGTGCCAGCGCCACTTGCTATCTTGAAACAATCATCAGTCTATGTAAACAGCCTTTGGGAAACCTCGCTCCTGAAGTACTGACTCACACTTAAGCAATCCCCTGCCTCAAAATGACAAAGGAGGGCAGACCTTTGAGTGTTAGTAACTCGATTTCTACGTTTTTCGGGCGGCGTTCTAAATGTTTCTTTAGTTTGCGGAATGAACCCATACTGTATTTAAAAAAACAGCAAAGAAAAAACTGATTCGGTTTTTTTCTTTTCTCCTATTCCCAAGGCGAAAACGCACAGTCACTGTTTCTATGTCATCAGATTGGTGAGGGGGAGTGTAAGCGGTCCCTTCCGATATCTATTCCTCCCACATTATATTTCCAGCGTAAAAGGTTGAAGATCTACCTATAATGGAATGCAAATTTCAGAATTTGAAAGACTTTTTTTTCCTAAACGGGTGGATCTGCACAGCATAATGCTTCCAATGCACACATAAGGTCGGCTCCATTAATATTCAAAACGAGCAAGACATCATCAGCCAAATCAACCTCGTTAGTTTTGAAACTCCTTTGCTGTTTGTGTTCTCGGTGATGGAAAGCTGCTAACTAAACCCTTCACCAACCCACGTCATTGGCACAGTGAAAAAGGCCATACCAGTGTACCATGTTCACATTTCAAAATACAACGATGCACCAGAAATGAGGTTTTGAAACACATGGCGTGACCCTGTTCTGTGACGCATTTTCATGAATATTAATGGCAGAACTGACCCTCGTAGTCTTAAAGTGTGAAGACGATGTGGGGACACGATACAGGTTTTCAAAATTCTCAAAGGATAAACAGTGAAAAACGAACCACAGGGCCCAAGTGGAAAGTATGTGGAAGTGCATTTAAAGCCGAGAACATTAGACATTTCCTTAACCAAAGGGTGGGAGTAGGGAGCAAGCTACCCACTCAAGTCATTGAAACTGATATCCTGGCTTCCTTCAAGATACAGCTGAAACCTTTCGATCTATGAGTTATTAAGTACCAAAAGGGCTAAATGGTTGGAATGGCTTCCTCACTGCTTTTATTGTAATTTACTTTAATTCCTTTCTATTAGGAACTCTTCAATCTCCAGGGCAGTTGCCCACACTGATCCACTTTAATGGAATGTGTGACCACCGGAAGAAAGGATGTAAAGTCATTAATGATCATAAAGAGAACATAGAGGAAAGGGGAAATGTCCAACATTCTCCGCATACCAAATTATCAGATCAGCATAAACAGAATAAAGTTTCTCCCCCATTATATTTATATAAAACCAGTTTGTGTCCACCCACGGCACAGCTATTTTTTAAAGCCAGAATTTTTTTTTTAATGTCAGAATTCCCACTCTAAACAAATTCCACTCTCATCTGCTTGTCATCAAAACATCTACAATACTGCCACTGCACTTATTGCACTGTTGTTTTTTTCATTAGAACTGACGATTTCACCAGTGGGTGGCACAATGGCACAGGGGTGAGCATGCCGCCTTACAGCCCTCAGGCCCTGCATTCAATTCTGGACCTAGGGTGCTATTTGTGTGGAGTTTGTATGTTCTCCCCTTGTTGGTGTGGCTTTCTTTTGGGTGCACTGGATTTCTCAAACACAGTCCAAACACATACTGCTACTAGTAGTTCAGGTGGGTAGCTGCGTCAGCATGCGTAGGCTGCAAAGGAACAAGTAATAGGTTTATTCCATGCTGAAAAAAAGAAGAGAGAAAACACAACGTTTCAGCCGTGGAGCCTTCTTCAGGTGTGAGAGAGACAGGGCAGTAGGCAAAGGTAAAGTAGCGGGAGAACAAAGGCTGGGAGAGAGGAGGAGCGAGAGACGGGAGCAGGGGACAGAAAGAGAGGCCAATCAAGAGGTGTGAAGTCAGAATAGGTATAGAGAGGTGTGAAATGAAACTTCCAATGAATGGAGAAAATTTAAAAGAAGAGTAGTCTGTCGTTAAGAGAAGGAGGGAATGTGTGATCCTAGCTGCAGGATTAAGTTTGGTTTCATTAGTCTTTCTGATGTATGAGTTTGGAAAACTGTCTTTGATACTGCTACTGTAGGTTAAGGGGCTCCTAGAGTGTGTGTGTTTGTGTCTGTGTTTGCCCTGCAGTGTCCAGGCTGCGTGCTGCCTTGTGCCTGTTGACAGACTCTAGCTCTCCTGTGACCCTGAATTGAAAGATGTGGTTAGAAAATGATTGGATTGATTTCAGCAGCGTCAGATTTAGTAGGAGCATCTTACTGATAGTCGTGTTTTCCTATAATGTTATCCAGGTGTCTCCAGCTCTTGAAAAGCCAAATTCTGGAAACTATTACAGAAATCTTTAAATCTTTAATTTCCAAGACTTGGAAAATGTTCTTATTATCTATTGCAAGTCACTTGTTGTATTACTTAGAAATCATTAACAACAGAAATTGTCAGCTGTCAAAGACCAGAGTTCCCATAATTAAGTATATTACTTGCTGAATTGAACAGTAACTCACTAGCATTCCCATATATATTCAAACAGATGATTTGTTTCTATACATATGAAACAAATCATCGGTGTCTTTAAGACACTGAATTGGATATCTCCATTGCCTGGTCTGGCATTATGTATTGAAAGCTTTATGTCTTTCCTTGCATAAAGCACTATGGTGTCACTAAGGTTTCTATGCAGTTTACCAGGTAACACTCAGCTACGGTAAGTACAAAATTACTATCTTAATTTATACATACTGTAAAGTACTAAAGTGTCACTCGGCTAACTTGTTTGGCACAGTTGCCTTAAAATGCAGACATTAAGCAATTTCTGTATCATCAGGACAGTGATTTTCTTGGTTCCATGGCACTAAGTGAACAGAGAGCACATACAGTTACTCCCTCATCCCGGATGAGTTTCCCCCTCGGCCACACTGGTCCTCTTTCGTACTGCTGGTTGGACTGGAGCAACTGGGATAAAGTACCTCTTGGCTCAAGCAGTTTCTGTAGTGGGGACTTAAGCCCACAACCACAACCCACCAGTTATGAATCCAGAGACTCTTCTGTACATCACCCCCATACTATGGACTGAAGCATAATTAAATTCTGTGTTCTCTAAATAAATACAATAATAATTCAGTGTATTTTACACTTCCCATTAGCCCCCAGCTATGGTGGGCAACTCGGTTCATGTGGGAGTAAAGTTCTTGCATCTACAGAGATTATTGTCATTGGTGAGGTAATACAGACACTCAGACTGTTTATATTAATGTTAACAAAAAATATATATATATTACTTGCTCTGATAAAATGTCAGCTAAAATTGTAATCTCTTGTTCATAATATTTACTTTACCTTTGTGGAATATTTAGGCTAGAACCTCTCAGATCCAGACCTTGCTGTCATTTGTCAACTGCATTCCAGTACTGTACATTGCAGACATTGAAGTATTACACTTATATAGCGCTTTTCTGGACACTCCACTCAAAGCGCTTTACAGGTAATGGGGTCTCCCCTCCATCACCAATGTGTAGCATCCACCTGGATGATGCAACAGCCACCATAGTGCGCCAGAACACTCACCACACATCAGCTATCAGTGGGGAGGAGAGCAGAACACCTCTTCCAGCAGCAACCTTAATTTTTTCCTCCAGGAGGTCTCCCATCCAGGTACCAACCAGGCTCACACCTGCTTAGCTTCAGTGGGTTGCCAGTTGTGAGTTGCAGAGTGATATACAGTAGCTGCTGGCTATATCATATTGAATGTATAAAGTCCATAATAAATCCTAAGGGGTAAGTCACTCTTTGTGAAGCTTGTTTAGGAGTGCAACTAAAAATTGGTAAATCAGGAGTTGAAAAGGGAAGTACAGTAAATACAATACTATTTGAAAAGAGGATGTGATTCCATTGAGAACCACTATCACTAAGGAAATCACCAGTTCAGCCAAACGTTGTTAATTCAAACCCACCATAATTGTAAGCTAAATCCCAATATGCAAAGGATTGAAAAGGTCTTTAAAAAATCTACAAGGGGCAGTCTGCAGACATTGTCATGTTTCTCATTTCATCACCACTAAAAGAAATTCTCATTGTGAGGAGAAATTTCCATTTCATAAAGTAAGAAAAATCTCTCAGCTGTGTTTTTCCACCTACTGTACACAGTATGTTAGTCTGCATAGAGAAAAAAACTCACACGTGTATCAATAATGAAGCCGACAGATGATTGGCAATTTGAAATTAGATTTTTGGAAAACCTGTTTAACATAAAGGAATGTTATGGCACTGTCTGATTACCTCTGTTTTCTCCCAGGAGAGAAGAACTTCATTTTCATAGTTCTTGCTGTGGACTCTTTGAATCCAAAAGCCATAACACTGATCATGACAGAAGTACAGCATTTACAGTAGGTGAACAAGAATTTATTTTTATGTCCAGGTATTGCAGCTTTCTGCCAAAGACAACAGAACAGCTTTTTCAGCACATTAAAATGATGCCTGACTGGAATACAATGGGCAACTGTAAATGGAAATATCACATCTCTCTTGGACCAAACATGAATGGCTCACCATTTTTCATATGCCTATACACAGTATCAGATAATACAGGACTTGTCTGTCCAGAGAGGAATGGTAAATAGCACACATGTATCCTGTATTAGTGTTAGCTTTTGAGTAGTGTATTTTCCTTGCCTATGGTGCCCAGCATTTAGTTTGGTTTCGAGCTTATGATTCTGAGAATCATTTCCAGGCAGGTATACTGTATAGCTGTAGTTGGACAACATTTCTGCCATTAGTAAAGGTAAATTAAGCAGTTATGAGTTTTCTTTTAAACCAAGTGTTCAGGTTGTTTAGCTATGTAAAAAGTGTCACATGGAAATAGGTTTCATAATTATTGGTATCGGAAATACAGTAATCATACTTGTGAACTGCCAATCTTGGTGCATTTCATAATAGTGCTGTTCTGTGACCTTCAAAAATGTACTGTAAATAACCCAAGTGCTTAATTTGTCATGTGTTGTGCTAGGAAGATCAGTAATGTGTTAGCGTTAGGTAATTTAAGGCATAAGGCAGTTTATTACTAAGAAATCCTTAGCAGAAACTAGGTACTGGCCAAATTTCCCATTAGCCTTTACCAAGCACGGCCTCCTA